TGGAGACCATGGTTGAATCTCCTCAAACCATTGCGCTAACCAATCTGCTGCTAATTCAACCAGGTCTCTTAGCTCATCCTTATCACCTCCTTCCAATAGGACAAGCTTCCCACCCATTGGCCGGACCTTGCATGTAAAATAACCTTCCATGTAAAATCTTTCTTGTAGTAATGGGACCACTTCGATTGAGTGAACAGTACCGACCATGCAATCCTGGAGCCACTCTTCGTCTTCCTTCATGGTTTTTAGCTCCAGTCCTGCCCTGTTATTGCTTCTTTCCTTGGTCCTCCATGCTTGAAATTTGTGCTGTCCGTCTGTTCTGTTCATCTGGCTTTTTCTTTTGATTTCAACCGCACCTTCTTTTTCCTCTCTTCCGTCTTTCACTACATCCACATAGCTTCTCTGTTGTTGGAGCTTCCCTCCTTTCCTCCTTTCTTCTATTGTAGCCTTCTGGGTCTCATTGTATCTTGGTCTGTTCACCCTCAGTTTCATACTTTCAATCACTATCCCATTTAACCTTCTTTCCAGCTCCCATTCATCTCTGACCTCCAGAAACCTTACAAATCCGAACCTGCTCCCCTCCCTCCCTTTCCTCTGTGGGCTATGAATGGCATAAACCCTCCCAAATTTGAGAAAAGTTCGCCACATATCCCCGTAGCTCCAATCATCGGGAAAGTTCGTGAAGAAAAAGGGTGTTGCTTGGTTGTAAATTCCCCTGTCATATCCCCATGGTTCCCTTCTTCCATGCTCCTTCCGAGTTGTAAACTGATTCTCATGACCGGAAAACCCTCTGCTCTGAATAGTCTGCCTTGCCCGTGCTCGCCTGTCTTCCCAACGTCTCTCTCTCTCTCTACCTCTCATCTCTCTCTGCCAAATCAAAGTAATTTTTCATTTACATTCTTCTACTTTCTTTTTTTATTCATTAACATCCTTCTACATTATATATGTTCATTTTTGTCATTTATATTGAAGTTGTTAATACTACTCCATTAAAATTAGTTTGCCATTTATATTGAAGGTGCTTTGTACTCCTTCATTAACATTAGCTCATCATTAAAGACTAACTAACTAATGTTATTTAGTGTAATTTTGTTTTCAAAATTATTTATCCATATCGACTTTTTAGGTAACCCATAGAAGCATAAATTTTTTGTACAAAAAACATAAATAGACGCATAAATTTTTTATAAAAGTTTTCAGTTCACCCTCCTATAAAAAAAATATGTTAATATCGTCACCGCACAAGAATGAAATCACTTTAGAAATGGACCGTGGGACGACAATGGAGTATTTGAAATGGTCCAAGTTAATTAGATCATTTGTTTGTGTGGATTGATGGGAGAATGCCAAGGGCTTTGATGGACTTCAGCAGTTGGTCTCAATTCCCACTTTTCTGTGCTGAAGAAATAGTAAATAGATGTGTAATCAAGTTGAAACCAGATTGAGTTCACGTTAAAAACAAATAGTTAATGTTAAGCTGCAAGAGATACAATTTACAATGAGTTGATGTGAGTCGAATTCAATTAATGTATAAGCATTGGTGTAGATTAGTACCTTCAAAAATTAGCTTTTTTGGGTGAAGATTATGTTTGGATAGACTTCCAACAAAAAGGAATATGAAAAAAAGAGGGGTGGTTTTGCAAGTGGAGGGGTTAATGTGTGGTTTGTGTCATAAGAAGGAAGAAAAGTCCAGTCATTTATTTTGTATATGTAAAGAAGCTTGGTTCATTTGGGTTCAGGTGCTGTCGTGGTGGGGTATTGAGGTTGTGATGCTGTATACAGTGGAGGGGATGATGGAATTTTTCTTGTATGAGTTGGGAAGTGTAGTAAGGAGGGAGTTGGAAGCATGTCTTTTTCTTGTTGGGTCCTGGTATATTTGGTATTGCAAAAATATTAGAGTTTTTTGAAACAAAGGGTGGTGTAAGGAAGGTCTGTTGGATATGATTCAGTCTAAGACATTTTTTTGAATTAAAAATAAGGTGGATGGACATGTTTTCTCTATTTTTGATTGAAAGGTTAATCCAATTGAATGTGCTAGCTATAAGAAGGCATAAAAAGATGTTGAAGGCGTTTCATAAGCATCACAATAGGGCGCATGCTGTGCAAAGAGAATGAGATGATTCTATTTTACATGTTACTAGACATGATTTGTTTTATTTAGTTTCTTTTTATAGTTTTTTATTTGGATTGGAGTATTCCTTGTATTTTGTATAATAAATTTTAATTTATTTAACTAATAAAAAGAGTGTATAAGCATTGGTGTACCATTTGTACTCTTGAGTTATAAAAATTCATTTTGCTAATAAAGACAAAAATCTGTCAGTATATATATTTTGTTGACAGATTCGGTCTCGAGGGAATTCTATCTTCAATCAACCTCCAAGCAAAGGCACATACCTTAGCACCATTGGGCTTTGTATAACTATGTCCTATGTATGAAAATCGAATATGTAGCCCACTAGCTGGGTCCGCATTTCTCCGGTTTTAAATTTAATGTAGGTCACTTGCTTGGTCTGAACTCATATAAAAAAAATATATATATTGGGAATTTTAGTGAACTCCAACAAATTGGAGACCATTGAAGTATGTTTTTTCTTCGTTAGGGTGAAGAAATCAAGTTTCATATAGGTGAAATATGAAAAAATTGAGGAAACTGACAGGTTTAAATATGTTAGAACTCATATAATTATATTGAACTAATCTTTTAATTTCAATATAGTGTTAACCACTAAATGTATCCTTGCTCGGTAAGATATCTTCCTAACAGAGTAATATTAGAGCCAATGGTATAACATAGCCAATGTTATTTTGGTCTTAGGTCAAGCATAACAAAAATGAGAGTATATGTTATATAAACTCATACGCAGTTTAAATATGTTAATAGAAAGACTCATGTGATTGGCCACCAAGATGCATCTTCAAACCCACAACTTGTTTGGAGGTCAGAAGCTTTATGGTTCAGTTTGCTACTATAGGAAGTCTGTCAAAGGGTACTCTAAAAATTAACTCAGCTAACAGGTAAGAGTCAAACTTGAGTGTAATGACAGATGTGAAGAAAGCTCTCTGAAATTAAAGAAAAGATTATGATAGCTAATGTGTTAAAACCAAATTAACACTGAGTTTGGTCCAATCAATTTAATTAATAAATTCGGCCAATCGACTAAAAAATTGACTTTTACAATATTTTTTATATATTGGACGACTATATATTAATATTATTTTATTTTCAAGACACAATCACCTTAGAAACATCTTGTAAATTATATTAGAAAGAATTTCTAAAGTTGAATTTAATTAAATATATGCAACTTAAAAAAGATAAAAAGCATAATAATTAAAAAATTAAATTTAAAAAAAAATTGATAAGGATGGGTCAAGTCAACGACGTCACTGACTTGACCAAAATTTACAGGTCTGGTGAGTTTAACCGGGGCCAATCTTCAAAATAGGTTAGAACTTAGAACATTACTCAACCCATTTTTGTAACAAAATCTACTTCAACAAATTAAATTATGCAACGAGGTTGGGCTGAGTTTTACAAGAGTGATTAGAGCACCTATTGGACTTCACTAAACAAGAAAGAAAGGCTAGTTGTTTACATTGATGTATCACTTAAAAGAAATGGAACTTTCAAAGGAATTTTGGAATTAATATAATGTTATCATCTGATTAAAGTTATAGTTTCTCCCAGCCATTTTATTTGTCACGCTTTTACTTACTACATTTATATATAGAGAAATTGGTGAAAGGGAGCAATTCTTTTTCATCAGCAAAGAAATTTTTATTAATAGGGGATATAGAAGTATTATAACCCGTTTACATATTAAATGCCATGACCTCAATTATTACCATTAACGGTATTTTTTTATATTAAAAAATTAATTATTTAGTATCATATAAATTTAAATTTTTAATATTAATTTTAAATTAAAAATTTTAAATTAATAAATATAAATTTAACTAATCTATTGGTGGTTACCAGCAACGGTACATTCCTACTCTAAAAGCAACCAACTCACCACCTAACCGTGGCCACCCCTCCTGTGTAAGTAATTTGCCTTTAGGAAATAGGCCATCGTGTTGCAGAGAGTGTGCACCTTTGCATGAATCTCAATTTAGTTAGGAAGAAATATTGTGTAGTCTAAATTATATTAAATAATATAATATTAATTATTAGATGAAAATAAATTTTTTACTATTGAGATTTTTTTTTTTCATTTAATAACTTTTATTTTATAATTTAAATATTACAAAAGATAGGACTTATAAAGTTGTCAAATTGATTTTTGCACATAACTTTTAATGGTGCTGTTATATATTATTATAAAACGTAAAAGAAATTTTTTTATCAAATAAAATTATTTAATGAGAATTACATATATGGTAAAAAATTTAATCGGAAATCATATGTAATAAAAGTAATATCTAAAATTATGTGAAAAAAGTTTGTATGATCGAGCAAGTGAAAAAAAACCTCCAAGTTGAAGTCTACAGCTGTATAGTGTCATTACTAAATAAAATCATATAGTGGTCCCACTATCCATTTTTTTCAGAACTATAGGGACGGCTGCCCCCTGTCTTCAAATGAGTCTGACAGACCGAATACTGCTTCCACCAGAGGGGCACCGCCGGGCGGCACCAATTACTAGTTTTGACGCGTCTCATCAACAATTATCATTCCAGAAGATGCCGAGTTGCAAACAGTAAAAATATTTGAATAGGTAAACCACTTTTAATTTGAATACTAAGAATGGAAAACATCAATTAGTTCTTGGTCAAACCCTCAACTATTATACAGATATGGATTTGATTTTTAAATTAAATAAATTCTTATTTTAATTTCTAAAATTTAATATTTTGACTCTTTTTTTTTCTCCTTCTGTTAAATTTTTTAGGTGACGTGTTAATTAATAGAGGAGCTGTATTTCTTCGTTAAATCCATCGTGTTACAATTGATGACGTGGACAAAGTAGCATGGACCATACTCTAATGACATGGAAACAAAATTAAAAATTAATGTTGATGTGGATAATTAAAAAGAAAAATAAACAAACAAAAAGACTTAAACATAATTAACTTCTATAATTAATATGATTAAATTTATTTCTTACGAAATTATTAACAATTAACCAAAATCCAAAAGAAAAGAAAAGAAAAGAAAAATCATTTGAGTTTTGTTCTTAGTGATGGCAATGGCTCTTCACGGGAGTAAAGACCCTTTCCCTATCTTTATCCTCACCAATGACGAGTACGAAGATTCCCACGGGAATTTTTTACAAAGGGTCAGAAATAACCTCCATTTCCATATTCGTGGGGAATGATAAGTCCCTGTAGGTATTAAGAATCCCCGCCAAATGAAACTATCACCTACTCTATTGCTTGTTAATCACAATTAAACTCAACATTGGTCAGCTCAAGCTCCACTAGTTTCCACATTCATTAAATAAAACTAGATCAAATAGTTATATAAAGTTAAAATTTGAAACAAGACAAACAAGTAAATAAATTACACATGCAGTCCAACAAAGTAATGTCTAAGACTCCTATTGCAATAAATATACACAGCCAATATATACATCTCAAGCAAGTTTAGCAAGTCAACAAGAAGTTCATAAAAGAAAAAAGGCATAAACTGCCATACAAGTCTAGCAAATCCAACAAAAAGTTCATAAAAAAAAAAAAGGCAGAAATTGCCACTGTCATACACGTCTAACTCCAGAAAAGTTCATAGAAAAAAAATGTATAAACTGCTGACATACATGTCCAACAGTAAGTTCATTAAGAAAAAGGGCATAAAAGAGTTTAGTAAGTGGCAAATGCACACACATCTATCCAATCCAACAAGGCAAACTATGTAGCAACAACTTAAGCTAAGCTTGATCAATGATTTCAAGTTGAGGAAATAACTTCCTGAAACAAAAACAAGTACCCCAGGTTAACAAAAATTTAGAAAAAATTCTTTATATAATAATTTGTATAAAGAAATATTATTATTTAAAATTTACCCTAGACTCATCATCCTCATTATCATTCTCCTCCAACTCCTCAAATAGATTGAGGAAATTCCCATAATTGTTAGAACCTGAATTTCAAATATAATAAAAGTTTAGAATACAAATTAAAAAATAAGAAAATAAAAGAACCTAGAGTTAGACCCTTGGAGTTGGAGATGAGTGGAGGCAACTCAGGCAAGCAACCATTGTCGTTTTCACGGACAATAACAAGGGATGCCGAGAATGAGGTGAGTTGCCAATGACCTTTAAGTGTGGTTGAGAGATTGAAGAAAAGCTGTCGAGTGTGAGTACACAGCGAGAGATGGTAGAAGATCAGCATTGCACAATGGGTAGTGAAGGTTAGAGCTTGAGGAGAATCAGAGATGAGGAATAGATAGCTTGAAGAGAATCAGAGATGAGGAACAAAAACAGAGTTACAGTGCCAAAGGAGAGGAGGGATCTGAAAACTTCGACAGTCCTACTAGGGTTACTAAAATGAGTTGTGCACATTGGGCTAGGCAATTAGGTTTGGGAAGACTAGATTGACTAGAAGTGCAAAAGGAATGGGTTGGATTGGAAAATTGGGTTTAGGAAGATTGGAAAAGAATGGGTTGTGAAATTTAGTTTGGATTGGTATTGGGTTAGCTAATTAGATTGATTAGTAAAAATTAATTGATAATTTATTTACAAAATATATATATAAATTTATATTTTTCTTTTATTTTATATGGATCCCCACGGGGTTGAAGAAATCCCCTGTGAAATTTCACAAAAAGAAAAATGCCTCTATTCTCACCCTATGAGAAGAAATATTCTTAAAATCTCCATCATGTAATAGAGATTTCTACAAAACTCCACAAGTCACGGAGGAAATTGCTCTCTCTATTTGTTCTTCAACTTTTGAAGAACACAAGTGAATCTCTTGCTCTTAAACCTATTCATGACATCATAGATAGAGAAATTGAGATTGAAATCTAAATGAAATTAAATTTGAATTCATCATAACTTCGTATAAAACTAAATTTAATCAACAAATTTAAGTTCATATTTTCAAATTTAACTCAAGATATCTAGATTCAATAGATTCAACATATTCAAAAAATTCAATAAGATTCGATATTTAATAAAGACGAGTCATTTCTATCGTAATTACTCTCTGTCTCTGCATCAAGTGCTCCAATTGTAACTTCATCACTGAGTTAAAACCATCACTAGGGAAATGGGTGGTTTTGAGAGTGTTGTTTCAATCATGGAGCAGGGGAAAGAAGGTGAGGGCTTGGAGGATGAAGAAGATTGTCTCGACCTACTTGATGTCAACGATGGTGGTTTCGAGAGTGTTATTGGACTAAGAGAGGTTAACAAGGGCAGAGGTGTAGTTGGAGGCAAAAATCCTTGGACCGTCATAGGAGTGAATAGAAGAAGGGAGTTCGAAGGAGGGGAAGGTGGCAGAGAAAGAGAGGTTGAGGGTGAGGTACAGTTCGAGGGTTAGAAAGGCAGGTGGGAGATCTGGAGAATGATGTTAATTTTCACTTGTCGTGGCAAGTCTGAAGAACGATGAGAGAGAGAAGGGGGTGAAGGAGAAGAATAAAATGATATTTTAGTCTTTAGGTTTTTTTTGGGCAATTAATCTTTTAGATTTTAATTTTTAAATTAATTTTTTTGTTAAATTCAAATCAAAATTAGTTTGTCCATCTCATAAAATTTGACACGGCGTAATTTAATTTCACACATTTAATTTAATGAATAAACAAGTTTCACTAGCAATATTCATATGCCAAATCAACAAAAGGTTAGCGGAATGATCAAAAAAAGAGCCGAAAAATAAATGTTAGGGATCAAAATAACGACTTTTGAAGTTGAGGAACTAAACTAGGGATTAGTACACCAAATTAAGGTTTAACCTTAATTCTTTGATTAAAGTGGTTAAAGTGGGAAACCAATACTTCTGAAACAAATTTAAATTAATCCAACTTTATGTTTGATTCGAAATTTAGTATATAGTTCATAATTATCAAAACAACTTCATTTAAAACAACATCTGATACTTGACTTGACTTAAAGGGTTTTTTTAATATATATATATATATCTTGTATTTATTACACTTTTCATTATTTTGTATTAAAAAATATAATTAACTTTAATTTTATTAATGTTTAATTAAAATTATTTACATCATATTAACGTTGGAAATGAAATTTATTTTTATATTTTTATATAAATTAATTAAAAAATACAATAAATATATTATTAACCTATATGCCTAGTCACAAATTAAAGAAGGTTTTTTTAACCTGCATTTAATGTACCTTTTTCTCATTAATATACATTAAAAAAGTAAAAATAGACATTAATTTTTTTAATTTTTTAATTAAAAATATTTATATGGCGTTTGAGTTCAAATTAATGTCAATATTTTTATTTTTTATATACATTAATATATAAAATGTACATTTAAGACATTTTTAATTTTGATTGGCAATTTCCAACCTAGTAATATTGACCTTAAGTTAGTGAAATTACTTTCATGGGTCGCAATTTTGAGCATTACGAATTTCTTTTTCCTTATTCCCTTTCCCTTGTTCCCTTACCCCTCTTTGATCGTAATCTTGCTCAAAAAAACCAAAAAAAACAAAAAAAAAAGACATTCTTAACTTCTGTACTTATACACATATTAAAAAAATCCAATTAAAAAAACCCTTATTTACATAGAAAAGTTGAAATGTTGAGTTAAGATTCTGCCGCCTCCCTTCTAGATGATTCGTACAATACAACGTGCTTTCCATGTTTAGATTAATTAGTCAGTTAGTCATACATTATTATTAAATTAAATATTATTTTCCAAATAGCAGACGAAATTAAATCTTAATTAGATTTGGTTGAAACGTGGTCAAGGGAAATTAACACATAAAAAAATTGAGTAACCTTGGATCTGTCAAACTAAATCTATTTATTATTCCACGAAGAATTTCTTCCTTGTTTCCCATCTTGGTTCGTGCTTGCTTCCTGGTACTAATACAATTAAACAGAATATTAAAGAGAAGGAAGATACTATATATGTATATATATATTCACACACATAAATAGATTGATTATGTGCACTTTGCTTCCTATCCCTGACTATATATAGAAGTTAATGGGCTTTACTCGTGTTGTAAAATTCTTATGTGAACAGATATTATATGCAAAAGTTACTTACCCCTTTTACTATTTACTTATCATTTTTGAGAGAATTATTGGATATATAGGTGGATACATATATAACATAATCATGCAACATTAAATCAATTATCATATAGATGAAGTAAACTGTCTTATATTAAATTATATATTTCTTTTTTATATTTTGATACAAAATTCTTTTACTTAACAATTTTTAGTAGGCTAAATTTAACATTTGAAATTAACTATAGACCTAATATCAATTTTGTCTAGCAACAATTATTCTCCCAAATTGGTCTATGAAATACTAGGCTAAAGTATATATTTTACCCTTTATCGTATTAGGTTTAAAATTTTTAACCTCTTATCTTATAGTATGAAGTTTTTAGCCCGTAAATGTAAATTTAAAGGTTTGAAATCTTTAACTCTTAAATTGTTAATTCTTCATTTAAATGAGAATAAAATATTTATAGAATCAATCCTTAAAGACTAAAAATGTAACAATTTAGTCCTAAAATTTTAAAAATTAAAAAAATTAATAAACTAAAAAAATTAATGGATGTTTTCTCACATGCACTAGAAAAATATTAGATATTTGTAATTAAATTGAGTGATTAATTTAATTTGAAGAAACAACTCTAATTGTGATTAAAGAAAATTTATTGGCTAAATTAAAACAGAAAATCTAAAAAACTAAAGAAATAAAAATGCAAATTTTAGCCTAACTAGCTATCATAACCGATCTTTACATCATTGAGCTGTTAGTCAACTAAACGCAAATCTATTTAAGTGCTAATGTGGTGCCAGATAGAAGCCACATGGTAAGAATTTGTCTTTCGATAATTGAAAATTTTATTCTTAAGTTCCAAACTTTTAAATATTGTTAATTTTGTTATCGAATAAATGTTGTTTAATTTCTTTTTGAACTGCTAAAAAAATCTTGTTTAATTAAGTCCTAGATGCCACCGACCAAAAAAAATAAAAATTGTCTTAGATGCCCAACGGAAGTTATAAGTCTAATTTAAAATTTAAAATTAAAGATTTTACATTTGAATTGTTGAAATGTTGAAGTTAAGCGAGTAGAGAGGAGTTGCAGGAATGTGAAAACTATAGGTTCAACTAGTAGTACCATAAGAAATTTAAAGAAATTTTCTAATTTATTGTTCAAGGTAGAGATGTATTTAATGTATTTATTATTATTA